ATAAAATATCATATAATATAATATAATATATTTAATTATTTAATTATTTAATTATTTAATTATTTAATTAGTAATTTTCAAATATTGAGAAAACTTTTTCATAAACATTTTATCTGGGTTCTTTTCTAAAAGGTTAATATATAAAAAACTATGCGGTTCATCAGTGGCAGTCTCATATATTTTATAAATTAGTTTCTTGCTTTCATGTAAATTATCGCTTCTAACAATTGCTGATAATTCATCTTGCAATATTTCTATCTCTTTAAAATTTCGAACTTTATAATAAAACAAATGACTTATATTTACCCTAATAATTGGTGGTACGGTTGACGATTTTTGAAGACTGACAAGTGTCGATATTCCACTATGACGACCTCTACAAAATAAAGAATTTAACAATTTGTTATTTCTTGTTATTGCTGGATTATCAGATACATCATCCAATATAACTAATATATTAAATAACTTTTTCATTCCTTGTTTTTTCTGATATTCAATTATTTTATTTTGAGTTTCTATAACTCTTTCTAAATCTTCAACATTGAACTCATCCCACCAACACGGTTCTTTATCATTATCTACTTTCAAACCTTCCTTAATGTATTTCTTCACTGGCAACCAAATACTATCCAAATTTACTGATGGAGACCAGATAAAAATTCTTTCAAATGCACCTCTATAAATATCAAGTATCATTGATACAAGTAAAGTTGATTTTCCACTTCCAGATGGTCCGACAATCATAGCTCTCATAGGCAATTTAGGGACAACCTCATGCTTACTTTGCTTAAAGTCATATTTGATTTCATCAATTGGTTTTACATCAGGCATAATAAAAATAATATTATAAATACTTATAAAATAAAAAATATAATATAATTATATCATAATGCCAAGAGAATCTATTAATTTAAGTGAAGTAGATAGTATTCGAACTATATATAAATTTGGTGATATTTTAGTTCCAGATACTGGCCAAGTATATTATGATACGATTTTATTGTTTTTATCGATAATTAAAAAACAAAATATTATAATATCTAAATCATCAATCGAAAACGAGGATACCCTAAATTATAATAAATTAGTAAATTTTATGAAAGATTATTCCTATATATCTACAAATGACATGATAAATAGTGTACAAGAAGTTATTGATATTAATATTAAAGATGTTAGTCTATCAACTGCAATGAAACTTAGTAAAGAAAATAGTTTAAATACATATTCTATTTAATATTAATGGAACATCTTTTTTATGATATGCTGGCAGTGAATATCATAAAAATGGAACAGGCTTTCCATTGTTTTCAATCAATAAGCATTGAAGCTAATTAGTTTGATGCATTGTAAAGAAAACCCCAATGCTGAGCCCCACCAATATTCTATTATGCATGAAAATAATAAGATTAAATAACTATTTTATCTTATTATTTATATGAATATGAGTTATTCGGATTATATTGATATAATAAATGAAGTAGAAAATATAGAACGGGTTGTCATAACTGATAATAGATGTAAAAAAATATGTTATTTTATTTTAGAACTAATTAAGTTTTTGATACAATATATTAAAAATATAAATATTAATATAAATGCCAAAAAAGAAAACCAAAAAGAATAAGATAGGTTTAAGTATTTCTTCAACAGATGAAGATAGCGGAGAAATTGTTAAAGAAACATCAGTATTTGAGATTGCTTGTCCTATGTGCAAAAAGATGTTAGAACTTAAAAATGAATTAGAAATTAAAAATAAAAAATAAAACATGTAAATGTTCATGTATTCCAACAAGTTTCAAAATAAGTAAAAATGATAAGAAAATGAATATTGATAAAACTAAAGACAGTATCAACTTAGAAACTGATGTCCATAGTATAACTTTTAAATTTGGTAGGCAAGCAACACCAACCGATAATAATGAAAACGAAACACAGGAAACTGTTAAACAAATGATGAAAAATTAGTATTTAAAGAGTAGATTTAACATAATTGCACTTTATAAATATATATAATTAAATACATAAATAAATATCTAATTATTTATATAATCATAATGCCAACAATGAATGGAGAAGACCATAGAATTATAACTTTTGACGATGAAGAAATTAAAGACCTATTCAATGGTGATAAAAACTTTGCTAGACAATTGAGCGAAGAATATTTTTATTGGTTAGATGCTAAATTTAATGATAAATATTTTATGAAAGGTATAACTAAACCGGATAAATTTGATAAAATGTTGAAGTTTTTTGAAATTACAGGTAACGATGAAGGTTTAATACAAATGAAAAATAAAATTGATGAAATACTCTTAGAATATAATTTATTTATATATATAACATTAAATTATTCAGGTAAATTGTATAATTAAATAAATAATTATCTAAATAAATATATAGTAATGTCTGAAAATGAGAATTATACTATTAATGATTTAATGAAGAAGATAACATTAATTGGTAAAAATATTAAAACCTTAAATGATATGATTAAATCCATTGATGACAAAATGAAACCAGTTGAAAGCGAACAGCAGGAGAAGGAAAAAATCGAAAAGATATTTCAAGCAAAATCTATAGGAAGACCAACGGGTGATTATCCTACAAAGCAAAAGAAATACTGTGATATGTTGAATACAGGAAAAATCAAACAACCAAAGCAACAAACATTAGAATTTTATAAAATTTCAAAAAATGATGATGGAGTATATGTATTATTTGAATAATTAATATCTAAATAATTCTAATAAATGAATTTATTAGAATTATTTAGCGGAACAAAAAGCGTCGGAACCATAGCAAAGTCGCTTGGATTTAATGTAATATCATTAGACTTGAAAAATGCTGATATCAACACTGATATTTTGGAGTGGGATTACAAACAGTTTGACAGAAACCATTTTGATTTTATTTGGAGTAGTCCCCCATGCACTGAATACAGCGTAGCAAAAACTAGGGGAATTAGGAATATCGAATATGCAAATAGTATTGTCTTAAAAACTATTGAGATTATCAAATATTTCAATCCTAAATATTTTGTAATCGAACATCCACAAACTAGATTATTAAAACATCAGGAGTTTATGGATGAGTTTGAATTTAAAGATGTTGATTACTGTAAGTATGGATTTAATTACAGAAAACGCACTAGGCTCTGGAACAACATTACAACTTGGAAACCTAGAGAATTATGTAAAAAGGATTGTGGCAACATCAGGAATAATAAACATATTGAAACCGCGCAGAGACTACCAAATGGAAACAAGGAAAAATGGGGAGACAATCCAACAATACATAAACAGGAAGATTTATACAAAATACCTAGCGAATTAATTTGTGAAATCTTAGTGAGTTTGACGGATTAAGGATTTAGGTTTGGGGGTAGGTCAGTTGTTGTGGAAGTTTAGGGCAGTTGCTGTGGATGATTAAGGCAGTTGCTGTGGGGCAGTTGCTGTGGAAGTTTAGGGCAGTTGCTGTGGAAGTTTAGGGCAGTTGCTGTGGATGATTAAGGCAGTTGCTGTGGAAGTTTAGGGCAGTTGCTGTGGAAGTTTAGGGCAGTTTAGGGCACTTGCTATGGAAGTTTAGGGCACTTGCTGTGGAAGTTTAGGGCACTTGCTGTGGATGATTAAGGCGTCGCACCCCTAAATCCTACAAGGCGGGCCATGCGCAACTCCGGAATATCCAAATTTTGAAAAATGAGTAATTATTTGTTGTAAAATGTATTTAAAGAAATAAGAGCATAATACAGTATGGAGGAAATTGTATTCAAACATTGTTCAAGATGTAATAAATCAAAAGCTGTTGAAGAATTCACTGAACCAAATAAATTATGTAATCTATGTATTGAAGACAATAGGGAATATCGTAGATGTAAAAAGGAAGGGGTTGAGAGAGCGAAGGAAGTAAAAGAACCGACCATAACATATAAATTAAGAAATTATTACTGCGAAGTCTGTAAATATGAATTGAGATTGTGTAAGAAAAGCCAACACGAACAAACATTATATCATCAAGACAGATTAAGAAGAAAGGAACATCCAGAAGAATTTGAAAATGAAGAAAAACCAGACAGAATACGTTTTCAAGATGGTAAGGAGTATTTTAAATGCAATAAGTGTAAAAGCGGGGTTATGTCTTCTCTATGGGGTAGGCATTGTGCAACTCTAGAACATCAGAAGAAAAAAATGAATAACTCAACTGAAATTTTACGATAAATATGCTCAAAAATATTTATCATAAGATTTGATGCAGGTAGGATTTCCAAGGGGCGCCTTACCTTCGCGAGATTTTTGGGTAGAATATTTTCGGACTTCAGATTTCGCGCTTTTATCTAACTGCGCCTGGCCTATTCTAACTCTACCCCCCCCCCCAATGGTGGGTTTCCTCTTGGAAACCAACTAAAAGGGGGTACCGGGACCCTCAAACAACTACTCATAAAAATAGGTTGTTGCCCCAAGAAAATGGTGTGATCTCCCTTTTTTAAGGGGAGTTTGAGAATCGCTCCAGGCCCTTTTTTTGGTTGGTTTAAAGGGCGGCCAAAAGGAAAGCCATCATTGTTTGGTGTCCAAAACCAACCAAGAGTAGGCACTCTCCAGGTACAAGAGGGTGATTTCCCATTTTGTGAGGGAAAAAATAGAAGGTCCGGGTACCTTTTGGTTGAATGGAAACCAAGATGACACAATTTGGCAGTGGGTCAAAATCCCGCACCCCCCAGTGAACACACTAAAATAGGTTCCAAAATGGTTGGTGCACCGACAACCCCAAAGTGAAATCCCAAACGGGTTTGACCCACAGCCATTTGAGTCACAATCAAAACCCGGTAAAAAACATGGTCTACAGAACCATGCAAAGAATTGAGAAGGCGGCTGCAACTATTTCTGGCTGGGACTGCCCCTTACTAACATTCATCTACCCGGGTTTTGATTGCGGCTCATTTGGGGCCCGGTCCTCCCCCAAAAAAGAGCCGACGACCAGCCCCGGGCCCCGGCGAGCGCCTGCCACAGAGCTGATGTTCACCACTGCGGCGGTGCGGCCCTGGGACTTGTCTGAGGCCCGCAGCAGCGGCAAAGCGGAGAGGCTCAACCACCTGAGCAAAGGGCCTCGTTGTTTGGTAAATTTGGAGTGGAGGGTTGTTGATATCTGAGAAGTGAGAATGATTTATTGACTTGTTGCTTGTTGTTTTGGGGGGATTGGTGGGAATGTTGTTGTTTGGACTTTTTGTCGTGTGCTGCTTGGGGGGAGGGTGGAGGGTGATTTGTGGCTTATGGAGATCCATTGCCCATTGAAGTTTTGGGCGCATGGATTTTTTTGGGGATGGTGTGGTTCAAAGGGAAACCACCAGACAACACATTGATTTGTTGGGAAATCCTCTTGTTTCAAGACATGTTGAGCCCCTTGATTCGTGGTTCGCCCATGTTTACGAGAGACTCTTGTCACTCACTCGACGATACAACGTCTCTGTTGGCCCTGGACTCGCCGCTCACGGGATTTTTCCGGTGGCTTCCCTTGAAACCACCCTTCACACCCATTTGTCGGGTCTCATAGGCCACCTTAAGCCAAAGAAGTGAAGAGGATTCTGTCTGGATGGGTTGGTGTGTGACCCCAACCATGCATGGAAGCCTCCTGGACACTTTCCTTGTACTGGATATTTGGGTCCCAAGTGCAATCTTCTGTGTCCCATAGTCCAACCACCCAAGATCAATTTCCCTGTAGCTCACCGATTCGGGAATGAAAAGAACGAAAACCGACGACGAAGACGCCGTATTTGAAAATGACTTGTTTCAGCTGTGGGAATGAGTGTAAAGTTCTGCAGATCAGCCCGCAGTGCGCCGGCGACTCTTTGGTTCGTGGGGGAACAGACATGCTTCAAAAGCCGACCAAGACCACTTTGCCTTTCCCCAACTAAAAATTGATGGTCTGCGGCCTATATTACGTCAGCCTTACAAGTGCAACTTCAAAAAGATCCCAAACAAAGTGTGGTTCGGAGGAAGTCCATCGGAAGTTCAGCCAACATGCATGGCCGTGTAAGACAAGAACGCAATCTCTGTAGGCAACTTGAAGCAGGAGAAACTCCACCTCAAAGAAAAAAAACATGCGTACGGACAACTAGGGGAAAATCATCCGGTCCCTGGAAGGAGGGGTCTCTGCCTTCGGATAAACCTCACTTACCCATCAGATTCAGCGTGACTGGGCCTCTAAACCATGTGCCCAACTTTGGACTGGAACATGGGCTAAAAGGACCGTCCTTGAATGACGCAGCCCTGCTTGAAAGCGTAGGCGCTCAACTCACTCCGTGTCCACTGGGAATACGTGCGCCAAGTGGGTTTGTTTCAAAATAAAGGGGTCCCTAAAATGGCAACGGTGTTCTTGTGGTGTGCTCTTGAAACAACCCCAAAACGAAAAGCACCTCCAACAAAAAGTCACACCCACTTGTCCAAGTAGGTCGAATTGATGGGAGAGCGCCAGCGAGAAGCAACGGGCTCCAAGATCTTGAGCAGCAACAATTGCAATCTCGGTCAACCGGCCATGTCAAACCACACCAACCTGAGGCCTAAGAAACCTTAGGAGGACATGCACGCACCCCTCAAAGCAAGAAACGAAACCCGCGTGAGAAGCCACATGCAGGACATGAAGTTGGTGTCGAAGACTTTGGCGAACTCTTCTTTCTCAAACTCTTCAGCCTGTCACGAGTGCTTCGAAAAGGACAATCGCGAGGTGGCCACCGATGCACAAGTGGTCTTGTCAAAGGGGTGAACATGGTGAACCCCAAAGTGGTTCGTCTCATGATTCTCCCTCTGCACCCAAACCAAGAGGGGGTTCCCAAGAAAGAGTAAGGTTACCAGTGTAGACAAGCCCACATGAGGTGCACACCATATCCTGGTAATGGTTTGTCTGTTGCTCAAACGGACAATGACTTGCTGACACAGAATGAGAACGGCCCCCAAAGGTACCTCTTGTATAAGTCTGAGGTTGGCAACCCATGTCTCACTTGCCCAAAGGACCTGGACATAAAACGTTGATTAAATATGAACCAAATCAGGGAAACCAATAGGTTTAAAGGTTGGAATTGAAAGTTGGGCAGAAGTGAGATGTGAAATCGCTACGGATCAAGCAACCGCTTCCATTGCCAGTTGCTACTACTGTGCAGCTCGATGGATGACAATGGATGTCTCCGAATATGTCTACTGCATGGGGTTGTCCACTTCACTTCTCTTGCAAACCGCTCGACAGAAGCCACACACGCACAAACCTTTGCCTAGAGAACCTCGCCATGTTCCAAACGGCCAATCATTGAGGCAATTTGTCTTGACCGCGTCTCCAAAAGCCTTGGAACCGTGTCTCGGAGGCATCACCGCATGGCTTACAGATGGACTGCTTGTTGGACAGTACTTGAGCTTTTGGACATGCGAAGAAGGGTGCTGGTAAGGGCACATAGTTAAGATAATTCATCACACATGTTACTCACTCGACCGCAGATGTCCTGCCTTTTTGCGTATGTTGGTGCCGCAGTTGTTCACCAAGATGTCCAACTCCTTCCAGGGCAACTTGGACATCAGGTCCTGCGCGAAGCCATTTCTCTGCCCAAAGGCATGGGAGGAATTGCGTGGGTCCGGAAAACGGGTGGCTTCGAATGTTGGTTTCCCTGAAACCCCATCCAAAAAGAAGACGTCTGCTAATTTCGGGACTCAACTCAATGCAACTCTTCGCTCAAGCGGAGAATTTCCGCACTGAATCCGAGACCACCCATTCTCGAAAGGGCAAAGCGACATATGCCAAGACTCCCATGACTGTGGCCCATGATGGTGGAAGCCAAATGGACGTGCAACAAGGTCCTTATGGTTCCTTTTTAAAACAGTCTAAGAAGGGGCCTCTATTTTGAGAACCTCCCTCCCAAATGCTTGTCTAAATTGCCGGTGCATGACAATGACCATCCCCAGTAACCCCAGGTCTTGTATGCGCAGCAACGGTTCTTGCTCTTGGCCGCTACTGGCAAGATTATGTTGACCTGGGCCGCACCCGAAACCAGGGCACTTGGTCAATCTGAACCCCAAATGGCCATGGGTCAAAATCCCGTACCCCCAGTGAACATCCCCATCCCCACTAAAATAGACGAAAATGGGTGGTGCACCTACTGGTGGGCAGCCAAATATGTCCTGAACCAGAGCCACGAAGTAGAATCACTTCCAAGTACCTTCCCTCGCCTCCAACCGTGGCAACCCAAGGGATCCGTCTGAAGCTTAGAACTTCAAACAACCGCAGCTGCGAACTCAAACCCACTTTCAGCAAGCACTGATCATGAGAAGCCAGCCACAACAAGCACAAACCGTACATAGCTTGCGTCAACTGTGTGTTGCTCCTGGGTATAAGCAACCATGAATCAGGTACTCCAAGTTCCATTGGAGATTCTTACAACTTTCATCATCAGAGGAGAACGGTGTGTGTAAATAGGTCAACTCTTCTGCACGCCTCTAATAAGCCTCACTTCCTGAGTGAATTGGCCCAAGCTTGTCGGTGGCCAGTAACATGGCCTTCCCAAAAAAGCAAAAAATCACCTCCAAGAACTCAAGCCATAAGCCAGTCTACATGTTCGCATAATTTCAAAGAAATTAGACATGGATCCCCCAAGCAAAGGCTCACTTGGCCAAAAAACACGTGAAACAAAAGCTTAACCTTTGGAGCTACGCCTTTTCAACAGACCCAAAGGGAAAACCGACCCGGTCAAAAGGTCGATTCGTTTTGGACAAGCAAGAAGGACCGATCCATGGTGGGTCAAAACCCAGGAAACCCCTGGTGAACATCAAAACAGGTGGCAAATGGATGTTCATCCACCCCAAAATGGGATCGCCATAGGTTGTGCAACCCATGGCCACATGGCTTGTGTGCATGTGAACCCCCCCCAATCGGCGAGCTCGCCATAGTCATTGGGCCACCAAGCTCACCTATGGCCTGGCCTTGACGCCCTGCTCGGAGGAGAGGTCCGCAACAATGGCGTGGCACTTCTCCGGGAACCTCAAACTCTGGGGCTCCAAAACGCATTTTGTTTGTCCCCCCTTTTTTTTCTGGGCTGCCCGTTTTTCGGATCTGCTAAAAGTGACTAACTTTTAGCAGGTTACACGGAAATCCAACCACTAAACCCTAAAAAGCTAAAAGGCTAAGGGGATGGCTGGGAGCCACCAAGTTTTGTCTAAGGGCTGGACCCCGAAAGCCTTGGTGTGGTAATAGCCCCTTTGCAACCAAACCAAGAGGGGCTTCCCGAAAAGCAAAAAAAGGGCTCCTCTACTTTGAAACAAACCCAACATGAAGACTTGACAAAAAGGGCCACCCAAAACCCTGGAATTTGCTTGCCGCTCAAATGACCAGTAATTGACCGACCGAATGAGACTGCTCCGCTCCTGTCCCCCCCCCAAAGGGGTACACTATCTCTTAAGTCTGCTGGCAGTCACCTGTCCAGTTCGGATCTGGAAATACAAGGCGATCGCCTTTTGGAACCTTGACAGTTTACCCTCCAACTAACATGGCAACTGACAGGGGCTCCCTTCAAAGGGATTTGAACCTTCCAGGTACCTCCCCATCTTAGCTGGAGGAAGGGTACGTGGACCAAAAGGGGCAAGCCTTTAGGTCAGATCTGGTCGATTGGCTTGGGACAAGTCAGCTTCTTGCGCTTCTTGAGTTTCTTGTCCAGAAGCAAGGCATAGGCTTGCACAGGAAACTGAGCCCTCCATTCACCCTGGTGCAAAACCGTGGCTTTAAGAAAAACATCCCGAAAGTTTCCTGAAAGTAGAAAAACAACTAACCTGATGGGGTGTCTAATTTCGAGAAGCCTGCATTTGCCAAAAATGACCCTTGCATCCTCCAAATTAACTCCATGGGCAAACCGGTGGTGCTTGACGGGAAACCACCGGAACCTCAAGTTCGAGAACCTACATGCGACCAATTGAACGGACTCATGCAACCCAGTGGACCTCGTGGCTTTGTAACTTGGGGAGTGGATTGGCTTGCTGACAAAAAGGGGATCCACTTTTCGTTGGAAAACCGAAGGGACAAAACCGTTGTGAAGGTCTCTGGAAAGCGGAGGACCTTGAAGTCCTTAGGACCTGGAAAGGCTGGAAGAGATACACGAAACACCAAAGCGAAACCACGGTTCCATCTCTGTGCCAGTCGATCAGTGGCCAAAAAGGTCAGAAGTATCAGAGGACTGAAGCCTCCAAGTTCAAGACGACCTCAAGGAAGCAAACAGGTCAAAGCTGGGCTCCGCAGTTTTAGGAAAGGAATCTTGTCGAGGTATTGCCAAAGAAGTCGCGAGGACAGCTTTTAGGTCGTCTCGATACACCCTACCCTCGTCCTCACATCCCATTTTTTTTTTTAAAAAAAAAAAAAAAAAAAAAAAAAAAAAAAAAACACATCAGCGGTAAAGTGGACATCCCCACTAAACTCCAAACACCCAAAAGCCTGAGGAACTGGACGGCTGGGAAACGCCCAGATTTTGTGTCATTGTTCACAGATCCCTTTTGACTTCCGGGCCAGCACAACAGTAAAAAAGTCAGAAGTTGCGGTTCACCTTGAAGCCTCGACTCACAGAAATGCGAAGCAAAACCCTTTGGCAGCATTCCTTTAAAGCCTTGAAGGAAGCTTAAAGGGATCTCCAAAACTCAGGTCGCAAAATCCAAGAGGCAATAGACCACGGGTCTGTGTTTTGAGGGCATCTTGTTTTCGTGTGGGCTCAGAGAAGCTTAAAGGACACCACCCAAAAAAACAACGGGTCGGTTTCCCAATGTAGTCACATCTGAGTGGATTGACCAACAAAAGTAACCGCACTGTTTGTCTAAGCCACTAAAATTGCAACTGAACCACAGAAAAATAACAGAAAACGTGACATGGCCATGGGTCAAAATCACGTACCCCCAATGAACATCCCAATCTCCACTAAAATAGGTTCCAAAATGGGTGGTGCACCGAAAACCCCAAAATGGGATCCCATTGGTTTTGACAACCACAGCCACATCTCAACTCGGGTACCGTTTTTGGGGTGTCTTCGAAGCCAAAGGGCAGCAACCCCGAGAATGGATAGGGCGCCCCTGTGCACGGAGGAAATCCGTTCGCACCGCGCAAGAAACCCTGGGTTTCTCATTCGATGTCCCTTGTAAATACCAAGAAACAATGGTTTCAACCATGGTTTCAAAGTGGCAGCCGAAGAAATGTCTGATTCGATTTCCCGGAAAATGCCAAGAAACGTTGTGGTTTCGACCATGTGTTTTCCAAGTGGACGCCAAAGCAACCCTGGTGTCTGATTCGACTTGCCCGGTAAATGCCAAGGTAAATGCCAAGACACGCGATGGGGTTTCAACTCCATGGTAACCTAGGTCCTGCAGTAGAGAGGCTAGAATAAGGGTACCAACTTCTTTCTGTAGTCTATATTAGTAGGGGAACCCTCCCCCCAAAAAAGTGGGTTCAAAAGGGCACCTAGCTGGGGAACCAAGACAATCGGAACTGCTCGCTCGCCCGGTGTCATCCATTTTTGAGGCCCACCCCACCCCACCCACCACCCCACCCCACCCCCACACCGACCCCACCCCACCCCACCCGGCCGCGAAAAGACGCCCCCAAAAAACGGCCCAGGAGCTGCTGGGCCACCTTCTGCAGCTCCGCCTCCCCACGCGCGCAGATGGCGACCTGGCCACGGGATCCGTGGAGGACCGAGTGGACGGGCCGGCCACGCCCGCCGACTAGACGGGCCAAGGAAAAGTTCTAGGTTGATGGGCCCGAGGTCCTTAGGACCTGAGGACCTGCTATCCGGAAGCCTGATGCCTAAGTGGAAGAGACGGATTCCGCTAAATGATGACATAAATCTAGGGGTCGTTTCCCCATTCTTTTCAACCATTGTTCGTTTCGAAAACCGGATCCGTTTTCCGCGGGTTTCTGGAGGTTTTCTAGAAGGAAGGATACCTGGGAAAAAAAGGGAATGTAGCACTAGAAAAGTCCAAACCTTTGTGTTGTCCACCAAATGGTCTTCCAAAAAAGACGCACTCAGTGGCTTCCCGCATGGGTCTGATCTTCTTTTTTAGGGACCCGAACTGGTGGACCTCATATTTAGGTAGGGATCCCATGTTCACCACTTTGGAGTACCCTTTTAATATTCATAGCCAGATGGGTACCTGGATCCTCAAACTACCCATCAAGAAGTGAAGACATCCCATTTTGTTGGGGGCAATCACCCTTTGCTATGGGTAGTTCCCCGGTACGCGATCAGGCGCCTGTGCGTTTTGCATCACGGACGCAACACATGTGAACTGAAACTCACGCTCTGCATGCAACTTTCAAAATGGGGTGGGGGGTGGGGAGATCATGTTAACGTTCATTCCGCTTTTGCATGCGCCTGGATGTTATGTTGAAGTTGGGGTGGGGGGGTTGGAGAAATCATGTTCACGGTTCATTCCACTTGCGCATGCGCCTGGATGTTACGTTGAAGATGGGGTTGGGGGGGGGGTTGGAGAAATCATGTTAACGGTTCATTCCACTTGCGCATGCGCCTGGATGTTACGTTGCAGATGGGGTTGGGGTGGGGGTTGGGCAGATCATCTTAACTCTTAACGGTTCATTCCACCTGCGCATGCGCTGGACGTTACATTGAGGATGGGGTGGGGGGTGGGGGGAAATCATACTAACGTTCATTCCACTTGTGCACGCGCTGGATGCAAGGTTGAAGATGGGGTGGGGATGGGGGGATCATGTTAACGTTCATTCCACTTGCGCCGGATGTTACGTTGAGGATGGGGTAGGGGGCGAGGGAGGGGGGAAATCATACTCACGTTCATTCCACTTGCGCACGCCTTGTTCACCCCGCCAAAGGCCTCAAAATGTTGGACACCACGTTTCACATTGAAGGGAAACCAAAAGGAAACAACTATCTTTAGGGGTAAACTGGTAAACACCCAGGCAAATGCCACCTGAAGGTCAACCGCCACCCATCCCCCCAGCGCAAAAAGAAGGACAAAGACCAGCACCCACAAGACCACCCCCCCCAACTTCTCTGCTTTTTTCGGTACCAACTAGAACCAACAACATGATTAGAGTTAGGCCCAGTTATAGAAAGTATATTCTATTGTTTGCTTCACGTGGAGTCATTAACATGTCAAATGTATCCCAAGTCTACCCCAAAGAAATGGCTGTGGCTCAAAAAACAAAACACCGGTACCAAAATGGAACCTGGTCAGTGGAAACATGGACCAAAACCTGCGGTTTGCCCCTCCGATCGTTAAAATTTGAGCCACGCCCAAGTGCCCTTGGTACCCCTGACCCGAGACCGCTGACACCCGGGATCCGATGGCTCCGACGGCTCCGCGTCGCGAACGTCGCGCACCTCCGCGCCGAGGCGCAGCAGCTGCTCCGCGCAGGCGCGGCCGATGCCTTTGGAGCCCCCGGTGACCAGCGCCTTGCGGCCCTGCGGGTGGCTCTACGGGGGGTGGAGGTTTTGGGGGGGAGGTGGTTTTGGGGTGGTTGGTTTTGGGTGGGTTGGTTTTGGGTGGGTTGGTCTTGGGTGGGTTGGTTTTGGGTTGGTCTTGGGTGGGTTTTGGGGGGTGGGTGGGTGGTGTCAGGGGGGGGGTGGCTTTGGGCAGAAGGGGTGGGGCTGGTTTTGGTCGAAGAAGTTTGGAGCTTCGCAGAACGGGGAAGTCAAACTCCAAACCTGGGAGCTGCGGATTGATGTGGTCTAGCCAAAAGACATGGGGCAGAATTCAAAAGCCGGAAGCGCCTGTTGGTTTGAATGAGCCCTCGCTTCGCGGGGTGGGGTGGGGGGTCCGCTTGCAAGGAGCAGTGGACTGGCTCCCTCAAGCGAATTCTACTTCATGAACGCAAAACAAGCGACCAACAAAAAAGCCTCCCCCTTTCCAAACAAAGTAAACAACAATCCATTCATAAATCAATATTTTGTTCACTAAACACATCAATGAATCGAGAAATCACAATGCAGTTTATGTGTGATTGAAAAACATGCTAATAAAAAATACTCCACGCACAAAACATGCCTCACCCTCATCTAACAAACACCACCGAGCTCGCCTGCAGCTTGAAGCCGAACGGATCCTTCGCCACCGGCGAGCGGCTCCGATCGCTTCGGTCGCCCATAGCTGTGCAGTGGCTCGGATGTTCAGACACGTGAGTGACACGTCCCCGAAGCCAAGAGAACTACGCGCTACATCATCTGCAGTCGAAAATTCTGAAGTATCGCTGGCATTGTTTTACGTCACTGCGCGGCCGCATCATTGCTGATCGTGCGGGTTGTTGCTTTGTTGCGTCACATGTGGCACCCAATCGGCAACTTCGCATAAGTGCGTCCAGCACAGCACGGCTTGAGCTTGGGACATGGCTGCATGAGTCACAAGAGGCCACCACCTTAGAACATTGCTCTCAAGTTGGCTGTCCCAGAGAACATACAAGAAGCAACAGTAGTTGCCTTCACAGGCTTCGAGCTCCTCCATTGCTTCATCCAATGACGAACAAACACACGTACTTCCAGTAGTTATAGATTCCTGGTACCAAAAAAGGGGTGAACATAAACAATCATATTTTGAGACGCAAACAACGCCTTGCCAAGAGGACCTCATGAGGGCTTGTGCTGAGATTGCCAATCGTGCTTGGCACGGAGCCTGAGGCCAAAAAGACGCCCTGAGTTGAATCTGCTGAATCTGTGAATGGTACTCCTGTCCGTTCAAAAAGTTTTTGCTACCATGGGACAACGGCTCTTTTGTTGATTTGACCTTAGAGGGAGACCCCATCCTAAACAAAACAAATGCACAACTCGTCTTGCTATTGGACCAGAACCAAGCCGAGTTCTTGGCTGGCAAATCGTGTGTCCAGAAGTGCTAAGGGTTCAAGTCAAACGAAAGAAGTGTGGAATCCACCAAACTAACTGGGCTGTTCAAAATGGAGGGTTGGCCAATCCGAATTCAGTAGATCTAACCGCATGTAAGGATTAATGATTCCTTTGAACAGTTTCGCTAAACGCGACCAGGTTCTTCAGATAGCCTGCGCGCACGCGCGCGCAAAAAGCATCTCGCCTCCTTCAGCGAGATGCGCAGCGCTGGCTGGGCCGGCGCTGTGCCGAAGCTGCAGTTATACTGCTCCTGGGCTGCGAAAAATGGCAGGTTCTCAAAATGGATGTCGGACGGTGGGAGCCTTTTTTGGTTGGTGTTTGCAGGAACATCAACAGCAAAGCGTTGTTATTCGAGCTTTTGGAGACGCGCCCAGATGAAGTACCCAGTGGGCTTCACCCATCCCAAGAGCGAAGCGGGGGAAGATTTGTGTCCGTCTGTGGAAAGTATATGGTGACAATCCTTTGCTGAACGAAGCTTCCAAAGGAATAACGTGAAGAAGCCCTTTGCCAGGGCTGAGGTCGACATCACAAACCCCCAGTGGATCGGGACAAAAGGACTGGCAGTCGTTTTTTGGTCTGAAGTTGTCTTTAGGAAGGGTCTTGCATGGGTTCCCCCTGAGAAAAACGAGTTGAGAAAGGTCACTCCTGTTTAGGGTATCCAACAAACATGCAAAAGGGAACCTGTTTCTTGTCTTTCTGTATTTTTGTAAGGAGGGTAGTCGATTTCAAAAGGGTTCCCCCCTCCAAACAAACACTTGACACAAACACAGTGCGTGTTTCTGTTTGTGTTTATTTACGGAGGGGGTGGTGGTTGATTTTAGAGGGGTTCCACCCCCTCCGAACAGTCGAGAAACAGGGCACTTTTTCTTGGGGATATGGCTGCTTTTTGTTGGGACAAAGGGCATTGTTGTTAGTGGAAGTAATTGATTTTACAGGGGTCACCCGTCCAAACACACAGTTGGCAAAAAGAGCACTCTGTTTCGGGGCACTTGCTTTTCTGGGCTGCCTTCAGATCCCCCGCTAAAAGTTTAACTTTTAGTGGGGTAAATGGAAACCACCACTAAACACTAAAAAGCTAAAAGGCTAAGGGGATGGCTGGGAGCCACCAAGTTTTAGAGGAGTTCCCCCTCTCCAAACAAACCTGCTGAAAAGACACTCCGCGCAGTGCGAGCGCGACGTTTGGCACCCAGCCCGAGATGGTCCTCCAGCGGCAAGATCCGACTCCCAGGCAAAGACACCTGCCACTGGCCTCCGCGGGGTGCCTGCGCGAAACATGAGAACATCCACTCCAACCACTTTGGACCTGGGGAAATGCAAACAAGCAGGGACCCGGGTGCTGGATGGGTATGTGTCACAATAAGAGGACCCCCCCAAAAAGGCTGAGTTCCTTTTGGTGTCCCTCTAAAACCTGTCTGAAATGGGTGCACTCAAAAAACAAAAACGCCTTGGAACCCAACCAAAATTTGCAAAGGAATCTCCCGGAAGGCGATACTTTTAAGGTTCCGTGTTAATCTGCCGGGGAGTCGTTGCCAGCCGTGTCACTGCGAAGTATTCTGAACCGAAAAGAGATGCATATATATTCGTATATATTATGTCCCTGTTGGTGGTCAGGGGATCTTTTTCAGGTCGTGTCAGGAGGTCCCAAGGACCCCTGCACAAACGCCACGTTTTTATATAGCTGTTCAACAGAATAGTGGTGGAAACCTCTGCAATCCAAAGCATGCTTGCAGCCCCGCTGCCACTGCCACCCAATTGCCCAGAGGTTCTACCTGCTACCCCCGCTAGCTGCCCAATGGTAACACCAAACGAACAATATGCACAATTTGATCATTAATTGCTGCTTTGCGATACTTTGCCCGTTCGCGACCGTTCCAAGCCGTTCAAAGCCCTTTCAGTCCAAAAAGCGTCCAGAATGCTTTCAACAGGCGTCCAAAAAGCGTTAGCAAGTCGTTCTAGAGCGTTCGGAACCGTACAGAATCGTACTGTTGCGGCAATGACTTTGGTAGTAATATCGAATTTAGTTACGAAGCAGTGCCCAGAAGGGCAACGCAACTTGCCGCGCTGGTCACGCTCATAGGCAAAGCAAGCATTCCAACTCCATAGGCGGTCAGACAACCGACGCTCCTGCTGACCATCTGGTCCCAGCTGCGATCTGTCCAGTGCACATACTGCGACAATGAGCCGCCAGCCGCCGAAGCCAACCAGGCAAATGCGAGCTGGAGGCTGTTTCTAGCCTTTTGATCAACGATTGCGAGAAAAAGAAAAAAGAAAAAAGCGTGGCGAGGAAAAGGACAAAAAAAACGTGGCGAGAAAAGTGGGATTCACTGTTCATGCCGTTGTTCGCGGAACCGCGATGGCCCTCTTATCGTCACCATCGCAGGACGTAGCCCTTTGCCACAAAGGAGGCGGCGTTGTCCCACGGTTGCCGCCATCATACCGGGCGGGTCGGCACATCTTCTGCTGGAAAACCGGAACGCGTGCAACAAAAATCCAATCCAGGCAGAATCTTGCAAATTGTTCACTTGGTGTTGCAATTGTACAAATTCGGGGGTAGTGGAAAAAGGGAGGCCTGCTTTGACTGCCACTTGCCCAGCTAAACGTTTAACCTTTAGTGGGTTAAAGGCCCAGCTTTGCGTTGCTTGAGAACGCTCGGCCAAGCACCATGTGCCAACTTTAAAGGGGATTTCTTGGGATCACAGGAAAAGGGATTCGCCAAAACGAAGATGTCCCATGACCGAGAGGCAGGTTTCACCCCAACCCTCGTTCTCCTGAGGCAGAATCGTTGAACGAAAGACGGGAAGTTGCCTGGGTTTGACGAGACATGTTGTCTCCGGATTGGACACCTTGAAGGCGACCGCTTCCTAACTGGGAAGCCACCTAAACAAAAAAGGGGAGACAAGTTTCGGCCAGGCTTTCTGTGTGACACGCCTTAGACACATGAACGCCCTCCTAAATGAAAACAATGGTGACCTTGCAAAAAAAACACCACCGTGACCACGTGTGGAGACCCTTTTCTCGGAGTTTTTTTTTCTCCGGGTTTTCCCACATGTTCAACCAGGTTTCCACAAATTGGTCCTTTTGGTTTTGTCCTTCTGGGGAGATCTATTTTAGTAGGGGAACCCTCCTCCAAAAAAGAGTAAAGGGCACTACTGGGGGACCTAGCTTCTTATCTTCTCATCCGGAAGGACAAACCCAAGGAGGTCCACGTCCAGCGGCAAACCGACAGACCCTGGCCCAACGTGGCATCGGGTCGTAGATGGCAAACGCTGGGAAGACCTCGGGCTGGCGAGGACAAGTCAGAGAGGCGCCGCCCCGAAACCCCTGCGCCACCGGGAAAAAAACTCGGCTTGTTTGCCCAGAGGGTACCACAGGAAACCTGAGGATGGACAAAAACAAACAAAGCCGGCACTCCGCAACTTCTCCTTTTCTGCTTTTTCCCAGGCTCAAAGTCCCAAGCCACCGACAAGCGGTGGTTGGGACACGGGTGCTGAAAGGGGTCATTTGGTACATCCTCACACCAATGTACCGAGGGACCCATAAGCTTGAGGATCGAACACCTTCTCACAGATCAATCATAACTGAGGAGGTCACGCGGTGAAAGAACCACTCAATGACAAACAGCAGGCACCTGGACCCTACGAATTACCCGCGACAATGGGGGAATGGAAATCCTCCTGCCAGGAGCCTCCATCGTAGCAAACAAAAATGCCTCCCCCTGGTTCGATACACAAATTGACACGTTGTCGCGCTTTTTCCTCCACAATAGCTTTCGAGCATGTTTTTCGGATTCGAGCAGAAGTCAAGTTCGGAGTCCACAGGGGCGGGTTTGGGAAGAGTCATCAACGAAACGAGCGCAAAACAAGTGCAAAACGAGCGCAAATCAGTGCAAAAAAAGGTGCAAAAAAAACTGCAAACGAGCGAAAATCCCGAACATGGTACAGGGAATGGGTTCCGACGGGCGCATGATTGCTGACAACTCGAGCGATTTTTGTTGAATCGTACATTTATTTTAGAACAGGTTGTCACGAGCAGAAATATTTCGAGCAAAAATTGATTTGTCAATGGAGGCTGCAAGTGGTAGCGGCTCCAGTAGCATGGAGGCCTTCATTCACATGTCGTGATGCTGGGGGACTGTGCAACCAATTCAACTACCGATCTTGTATCAGTTCACCTCAAACCACGTGCAATGTATATATATACAACTAGGTCCTCCGGTAGGGAGGTAGAATAAGGGTACCCTTCTTTCTGTAGTCTATTTTAGTAGGGGAACCCTCCCCCAAAAAAGTTGGTAAAAGGGCACTACTGGGGGACCAAGACAACTATACACCATGAAGGGACGATTTTTATCCATGTCCCACTCCATGTCGCTAGCTGAACCCTCCTTGACGCTTCATTTGATATAGAGGGAGTTCAATAGAAAGGTCTGCAGGGTGGGTCTATTCTTCGCCCCGTTTGGCCTTGATTCGTTCTGCGCACGTCTCAGGGAATGGCAAGTGTCGCTTCACTGCTCTGTGATAGAACGGGGCAATTCCGGATGCAGCCATCCCACTTTGGGTCAGAACGATCTGCGTATCATTCCTTCACTGCCCAATCAAATTGCCCTGACCGCTGGACGGACTTTGCTCCTGGGTCATTTGGCCAAATTCGGTTGCTCAAGACGAAACGTCACCTCGATATTTGTGATCCTCCGGTACGTGACCTTCGCCTTGTCTCGAATGTGAGCTTCGAGCGAATGCCCTACTTCAGGGTCCAGAAACGGATCCCTACTGTGGGTAGGTTCTCACTAGCACAAAGCACATGGAACCAAAAGGTTACTCAAACGGTCGATTCGCTAAGTGAGTGTTAGAGTGTTGAAACCCCCGCTCCCGGATTGCCCAAGGGGCACAAGAAGGGGCAGGGGGTGCTAGGGACATGTTCCCTTCGGAGGTCCTGAGCATCGCCTTTGGTTTAGTTGCCTCTCATCTTTGAGTCACAGAATCTAGGGATTTTTGGGTGTGGTCCTATCTGAGTGAATTCAATCCTTCAAACTGATCTCAGGAACCAAGACGATGGTGATTTGATCCCGAATCCTGTGATTGAGAGCAGCGGCAAACTAAGAAAACAGCTTGTTTGCATGATCCGGGGTACAACGACCCGAATTGCACACGGGTAGAAACTTGGTTTGGCCCCACAACAACAAACTAAAGAAGCCAATGCCGGGCCCTTGTAGCTTGGTCATTCGGTTCGGAGCCATGATCTTAGGCCGGCGCTATAAGGTCAAGCGAGGTCACGTTGGCGCCGTAGCGCGCCTCAAGGACACAGCGGAAACTCCTTCAAGAACCCCTTTTCTTCCTATGAAAGAACCTTCATGAGTGACGTCTCAACCCCCAGAATGTGATCTGTAAGGGGTAACGCGATCAAAATGGATATGGACTCTCAAATGGTGGCCTACGGCCATGCACAGTTGATACTGTGTGGTAACTTTTTGCCACAAAAAGGACCAACAAATGGAAAAGACACAGCACCGATGCCAGCAGAACGCACCGGCGTTGGACCAACCGATGATGCTGGGTGTCTCGAAAACAGAATTCATTGGCCCAAGGAACGCCAAGGACCCTAGGACCCTACCTCTTGAGGAAACAGGCATTGAGGCTTAGGCCCAGCCACATCAAATGACAATTCCATTTGCTCCCAAGGCGCTGTCAAACAAATGAAACTCATAGGAAGCAACCAAGCCTAGAGAAGTGCTAGCAAAATATTTTGCGACAAAGGCCGCAAGAGGATCCCGAGGAAGTAGTTTTCCACCCATGCTGGGGTTTCCCGCTCCAGGAGAGGGGGGGGCGTTGAGAAAGGAGTGCCGCACACCACGACAGTGACACCTTACAAAACATTGGCCGGAAACTGCCCAAAAGGAAGTACCAATTACTACGTGAGTGCACCTCCTCAGCTCCAGCTTAAAAGCGCAACCTTGTAATACACACGTTGTAAGCGAAGTGCGCTTTCGCAGCTCCAGTAGTGCACGAAGCACACTTCCACGCTCATTGAAATAATTTGAAGGCATGACTCCGGGCATGGGGCTAAGCCTCGGTCGATGCATGTTGCTCAAGGCGTCGCGGGCACAAGTGTCCACGCTGGCAATTGGGAGGTGTTGAACGAGTATGGAGCGCATGTGGAACGGGTAGTGAACGAACACCCAGGGATGAGGGCTGCACGCTAAGCCCGCTAAAGTCCACCATGATCCACGGATCGCTTGTTTTTGTTGTTTATCAACCTGTCCTTCGCAGTCTCCTCCGGTATCCGAACTACGCAAGTTCTCATGTCGCCCGAGGTCGGTGGGGTACACATGTTTGGAGCGTGCGGGAGGTAGGCTTTGAGCACACATACCGAAGTCTTCCGCGGCCGGGGAACAAAACGTGGCTGCTTGGGAGTGGGACGCATTGTGTGTGTGTGTGTGTGTCAGTTGACTACTTGCACCGATCAGAAAGCTGTCGAATGATCCACTCGAATATTTGATGAGCCAGGAGTATTTAATGACTGGTATTGAAGGACAAGCCAACAACCTGTTCCATGCTTATTGAAAGAGGTATAGAACAGCCTTGCTCAATACAAATTGACTCACAGCCACATGATTTCCCCAAGTGTAAATTCAGCAACCGGTTTGAAATGAATCCGAGCTCACCAATTCCGAAAGTCGCCCTGGATGCGAAAGGAGTCGAGTCTTGCTCCCACCGGTCTAGCCCTGTGGTGCCATAGTACCATGGTGGAAAGGAGTCTGCCCAGCATGCGCATAACAAGGGCAAAACGCCCCTGCTTCTAGGTGTCTGGTTTGGACTAACCACAAACCGCAGCTTCTCAACCTAACATGTTTGATTATTGTCCATAGCGGGTGAGCCAGAACATGTCAAGCAAAACAAACCATATTGAGTGAACCTGGACATGTCAAAAAACAACCTGGACGCTCCAACCACCCATCAAAACGGGGCATTGCAAAAAAAAACAAGCTGTGGGGGGAATTCCACGGTTTAAGGGTGTTTTAAGGGTAGTTTGAGGGTGCAGGAACACATTTCGAGCAAAACGGACCACCAAACAATTCAAACAAACTGGGCTGTCCTCAGATCCCCCGCCCAAAAGTGAAACTTTTCGTGGGGCAAATTTGGAAATCCAACCACCAAACACTAAAAGGATCTAAGGATGGCTGGCTAAGGAACCGCTAAATCCAACTTGCTAAGGACCCGGATGGCCGGCTTCGCCACCAAAGCGATTTCCCCCCAGCAGCGCCTCGAGGGTGTAGCGGCCCTGGGTGAAGAAGAGCTGCACGGCGTGGGTGGCCGGCGGCAAGTCCAAGGGAACCTGCCAACTTTAAAGCGCCGGTGAAGGCGGTTGGGTCGAAGCCCCCCGGTGAACACCCAGAAAGCCTTCGAACAAGACAAGTGGAGTGGCAACCATCCAACCATTTTGGGTACCTGAGGTTTTGACAACACCCAGAAACTCAGTTCTTCAGCGACCCTGGAAAAAAAGCGGGAACCCTTTCTTAGGAAGACCGAATTTTGGGTGGGGCAGCCACCAAAAAAAAGGGGAAAAAAATGGAGCCACTGAACAACTGAGGAAAGCCTTCGAAAAAGACGGTGGAGTGGCAACCATCCAACCATTTTTGGCACCTTAGGTTTTGACCCACAACCATTTAGGAATGTCTCGGGAGTCTTTGGAGGTTGTATTGTACCCTTTCTTGGGATGGTGTTCAACGTGAACTAATGGCAAACCGAAGCCATCTTTTGGACTGTTAACGGAAACCAACTGAAACAACAATATTGGGATTGTTGTTTTAAGTCTTATTTTATTTGACACATTCCCCAACTAAATGATGTTCAACAGAGGGTCAGGTGAGGGCATGGTTGTCAGGGACACTAGCTGCTACATCCTCATGTGGCTGTGGCTCAACAACGGCACCCAAAAAGGTACCTTGGCAAATGGAACCAAAAACTAAACCTGCTTAACCCTAGATCCCGAGATTTGAGCCACACCCATGTAGGCTGTGGGCGTGCTGCCTTTTTGTGGCAAATCAACCCTTTTTGGTGGTTCTTAAAGGGCCTCCAAAGACAACCATGTCAGGGTTGTGCAGTGGAGAGGTTAGAATAAGGGTACCCTTTTTTCTGTAGTCTATTTTAGTAAGGGAACCCTCCCCAAAAAAAGGGAAAAAGGGCACTACTGGGGGGCCTAGATGTAGGTTCCCCTTGAAAAGAGACCGACTCATTGCTTTTTGTCCCTGTGCCCGCGTTCTGCAGCCCACCTGGCAGCGGACCTCGCGCCCAGACACGTAGACCTCAGCTCGGTGACGCCAAGGAGCGTAGGTTGTGAACATAGCGGACCTGAACCGGAAAAATCGATGGGTTTGTTTGGCAAAAAAAACATCTAAACCAGTTGGAACCCATCTGTTCTTGCCAAACAACTTAAAAAGGACACCTATGGTTGGCACTTGCGAACAAAAAACAATAAGGGGGCTCACTTTGGAGGGGTGAAGTTATGAGACGGGGATCACAAAGTGAAGCTCTGGAGTTTCAGATTAGGCTTCCAAGGTACGAGTGAAGCTCTGATTCGGATTCCAGGTTTCCAAGGTAAGATCGCGATGAGTCTGGGAGCGCTGGTTACGCTGAGATGTGCAAGAGAAGGGCCTGTCGATGCTCCAGAAGCTTTGTATCACCCCTTGCCCAAGTCATCAAGCCACCACAGGGCTGCCCAACCAGACCACCAAACCAACAGCCACCTGGCCGTGGCTCAAAAAAGTGGACCCCATTTTTGGGCCCCTTGGATGGAAACAAAGACCAAAACCTGCGAAATGCGTAACCCCAGCCCTTACATTTTGAGTTTTGAGCCACACCCTACATTCACAACGATATATGCGCAACCTTGACTCGATTCATCAAGCGTTCGTGAGTTATATGACTATCCCCCCCTTCAACGCCAAGGGCTCATTGCTCTCAAGAAGCTGCCGGCCAACCAATCCGACCGTCTCTGCAAGGGTCCCCAGTTTTCACACGGACCTAAATGCTTGTCTTTTCTCAGGCTGCCCCTTTTGGTGGTTTGTAAAGGGAAACCAAATTTGGAAACCAAAATTGAAAAACCGAATTTGGAAACCAAATTTGGAAACCAAATTTGGAAACCAAAGGGAAACCAATCTTGATACGTTTCTTTTTTTCTGCGGCAATTGGCACGCACTTGCCCGGCTCAGCCCTCCGCAGCGGTAGATGCTCGCACACCTTGGGGCGGGCGCAACACATCAGCTTGCTGGTGCTCAGTATGGAGTGAGGGAATGAACCCAGGCTTTGGTCCCCTTAAAGGAAACCACCAGTTGGATGGTTTATAGGAGTCATTCATTTCTCATCCCCTGCTGAGCACCAGCAAGTCAAGTCAGCCAAACGAAGCCTTCCATGAGAATTGGTCTCTATCTAAAGTCGATGCACACTCACATGCAACAACAAGTTGAAACTGGGCAAGGGTTGATTTCCACTCCCTTCATCCAGTGTCACGCAAATTCACGTGATCAACATTATATATGCTTTGCTCTCAAATGGCATGTGAGCATCTACAGGTCTCAATGTTGTTGGCCAATGTGATTTCTGGAACCTAGCACCAACCTCGCAACTCCAAACCCAATGTGGCGAGCCATTCTCTCACTCGACATCATGCTTCTCATTTCTAGGTCCTCCAGTAGAGATGTTAAACTAAGGGTACCCTTTTTTCTGTAGTCTATTTTAGTATATTTTAGTAGGGGAACCCTCCCCCAAAAAAGTTGGCGAGAAAGGCCTAGTCATCTTCGCAAGCAAAACGAGAAGAGCTCCAAAGAACAGGCTCTCGTTTTCCAGGATCATGGTGTCCTGTTTGGCCCGCGCAGCTGGCCGGGCGAGGTTTGGGACCCGCGCCGGTGTCGTTGCTGAGGTCCGTGGGGTAGGTCACGTTCCTGCGACTTGCGCCATGGGAAGTCAATGAACCAACGCCTAGGAGCCTCTTGGACTCTAAATATGAGGGCCTTTCACTCCCAACGACCTTAAACAATAAGGTTTTGGCCCCTCAGTAGACGAATTGAAGGGGAACAAGTGCTAAACAAGTGGACTCTGTTCAGCGAACAAGCTCGCGTTCGAGAAAGCACGCCCTTACTCGAAGAAAGAGGGTAGGACATTTCAGGGATGGTCTCGACCCGTTTGGACTAGCCCAGAGTATACTGTGAAAGTCATGGCCTTGTTCAAACATGTCCAAGATACTGCTGTTTCAGCATCCTACCTTCAGCTGCCCTCCAAAAACCGGGCTTGGGTCTTCGTTGCCAAGTTGGCAAGTTGCTCGTAACCTAGGTTATAACCCACCTCCAAGTCCTCCGAAGCGGGGTTCGCCTTCTTCTAAGGGAGTGATGCTCCCAATTATCCCGACTCTCTATGACACGCTCCGTGGTGCCCTGCGAAAGCTTGACATGTAGCTTGCTGAAATGACAAAGCACCGGCCAAGTTCTCCAGTGAGAACACAATGAACAGGAAAACCACGGTTTTTCCTCAGTGACTTTTGAAAAGAAGATGGACATGCATCCCAACAAATTCGGATGTTCACCAAAACGAGGCCCATCATAATTCACACCCTGCACAAACTAAACGGTGTCAAGGCAGCGGATTCAACTCCGAAGTGCATGCGTTGGGCTTCGGAGGGAGGTTTACTTGCATATCTGTCAGCTCGCCATGTACCCTGCCCTTCCAGAACGACTATCCAGGTGGGATGGTCCCACTCTGCCTTTTTCTTTGAATATAGGTTCGGTGAGACCCGAGAGTATGACAGCATACCAAATTCAATATGATTCTCGCAATCTGCTGGATATGTTCTCTGATATTTGGAGCAAAATTGATTTGGCTGCCACTCAGCAAACAGAGAGCCGTGAGCAAATCGAAATTCCCTAGATGGTTACAGAGAATCGCGGGGGAGATAATTGGCAAAGGATCCCAATTTTGGGAGACACGCACATGACCTGCGCTTAGTACACATGACTAAAGCAGGACATGGGAAACACACAAATCAGGGCGCGCGCTTTATGTGTGAACCAAACCCACCAACTAAACCCATCAACTCACCCAGCCAGCAAACAACCCACAAACCATCGACCAACCTGAAAGGAAACAACCGACCCAGCAACTAACCTCGGTTGCTTTCTGCTCCCCTGCTACAAGTTTCACTTTTAGTGGTCTTCATGGGAAAACCAATTAGTTGGCAAAAAGTGTGAAAGTCCTAACATCCCTTGGCAACATGCACCAAAGTAACAATCTCTAGGCTGGAATTAGCACCCCAGCATTTTTATTTTTTCTTTGCCTGGTGAGTGGAAAACCAAGGGACCCCAAAAAAGAAAAAACAAAAAAACAAAAAAACGGGGAGCGAATTCTGGGGAAGCTACCAGGAAACAACCAACCCACTTCCGAGCAACCCTTCTGCCACGTACCCCCTCTCGAAACCCGAAACCCGAAGCCGAAGCTTTCCGCGCCAGGAGAAGGTGCAGTAGCCGAAGCTGGGCGCGAGCCTTATCTCAAGGCCCCCAAGCGTCTGCCGTGAGAAATTCGATATGTGTCCTTTGTGAAATTTGGTTCGTTGCCTTGTGTGCTCCGTGCGATTCCGTGTCTTTTGCTTTTTTGTGTTTTATTATTTTCGTGTTTTGGTTTTGTTGGTTGGTGGCCTCTTTGCGTGCTTGATGGTTGTTCGTTAGTGATTTATGTGTTTCTTCAAGTTATCACATATCGTTGTTTAGATATGTATTTGTTCAGGTATGTGTGTATGTTCCTTATGTATTTATTAATGTGTGCTAAATGATATGTGCATTTGTATTTATCTATATAAGTTGTTCATTTTGTTTGGTATCACTGTAACTATGTCCGTCTTTATGTGTTCCTTCTTGTTTGTATGCACGTATTTGCTTTCCGTGCTTAATGCGTATTTGGTTGTGTGTGGGTTTGCGTGCTTGGTTGTTTCAATGTGCATTGCATTTGATTGTATTATGTTAGGTTGTGTTGTGTTGTATGGTATGGTATTGTATTTGTAGTGCAAAAGGCTACCCACAAAGAAGACCGCATAAGAGGTGATCACGTTTTCGTGCCGCTAAACATGCTAACATGGAACCCCAAAGGTCAACTCCGGTCCATGCGCTTTGGGCAAGCGAGCTTACAACCCAAGAAAGGACATCCGAAGGAAAAGCCCACCTTGGACTCTGCGCCAAACTCAAACAGTCATTGGGAAACGACAAGTTCAATTCCAAGCACCAGCTCATCAATCCTCTAGGAGTACCTTCCCCATTCTTTCCAGGGTCCTTCTTTTAAAAAAACATCAATAAACCCAGACAATGAGAAAAGAACCATGGTTGAACAGAATGGAAAAGGATTCATCCCCTGGAGGTTTGGCCTTTTTTTGGAGCCCAATCACATTCATTGCTGGTGCGAATCAAACCCTAGAAAACCAGCTTCACTTTCAACAAGGTCCGTTGAGGCACAGGCCGCTGTATCGGCATGAAGTCCCCGCCGAAGATGGAGATGGTATCGCCTGCCATTTTCCTTCTTGGCCACATCGGCCGCAAAACGAGCCGAACCGTGTGGGTGCCAAAACAAAATCTGGAAAAGTTAAAACCACTACCCATCCCCTCTTGGCTTCCCTTTGGGTGTTCAGCAATATAGAAATTTATCATCCACTCACCCGTGAATCCCTCGTGTAGCTCGCAGATGCAAGACATGGGATTCCTAAGATGCTCATTCCCGAGTGCCTTTGTTTGCTGATTGCTACTTCGCTCATTGGGACCCACAATGAAAGTTGAACTCACCAGTCTGAAACGGAAGCGGGCGATTTGTATCGGAAACCACCCAGGTGCCCCTACGAGCGCCGTCCGTGGCAACGTCTCGTAAATCCAAGGCACCGAAAGAAACGTCTTCCAAAATCCCTATAAACTTTAACTTGTCGCAAATTGTCGCAAAATACGAGTATTTACAAAATTTGAAAGCTTAGAAGGTCCAAGCAAATGCGTATGTGTCGAAGTGGGGCTTTTGACCTGAACGAATCGCGGCTTCTGGCTTCCCCTTAAACCAAGGTCCTCAACACCACACGAACACACATCACGCAGACTCAAGGCGCACATTTGGTACTTCAAGCCATAGTTGGGCAGGTGCTTCTTCAAGGGTACCCATTTGGGCTGCTGCACCATTTAGAGACAGACCCCCAACAAATCCAGGCACATTCAAAGGAGGTACTTGGGACCCCTTCATACCACCCAAAAGCCATCCCCAGGAGGTTGCCACTCAACGTCACCCCATACTGTGGGGGACGAACTCTTGCACCACTTTGAAACCATGGTTGAAACCATTGTTGGCATTTGCAAGGGAATCACCATAGGGTTTCTTACGTGGTTCAGGATGAAATATCCATCCACAAGTGGTAGGTTCAAGGGAATCCGACATCAAATCTCTGTCATAGGTGTCCTTTTCTGAAAATAGAGGGGGTTCCCTGGAAAATGGGGCATAAATCCATCTGAGCCAGTGGAACCCATCTATGTTTCGCCAAAATCACCTAACAAATGGGTTACTGCCCACAAACATGGGGTGATGACCCCTTTCTAGGGCTACAACGGAGAGTTCACGCCTCCCTGGGCCCGGCCCTCGATCCGCCTCGTCCCACCCGCGCGTAGGTGGGCGCGAGGCGCTCAGCGAGCGGCGCAGTGCCACGGTGCAGGATGGTCTCGCGGACAGCGGAAAGGCTCGCAGGGGTCAAATCATCTGATCGACATGTTGTGGAGTCTGTAAGGAGGGGGGTAGGGGGCCAGGCTGCCCAAAGGAACCCAAAAAAACTGGGTGTCTCAAAATAGGAAATGGACTTATGCGTCATTTACCCGGGAAAGTGCCAAAATTTAGGGAATCCCCTCACTCTCACGGGGGGGGGGGGTTATCCAAGTAAAGGGAGGGTTCCCTTAGGCTACCGAAACGAACACAATCCTGATAAACCTGAAAGGGGCTCTCACCTGACTTACCAAGCTCAATGCTGCTCGCTCTATGGTTTGTTTTGCCCCAGCATTGCTGCTCTGATCCTTTTTTCGTAGCCGTGGTGGCATGTCTAATCACTTCTTCCTATTAATCAACCTACCCCCAATAATAAAACTCCCCCGAGCCGCGGGCAAGAAATCGGCAATGCTAAATTTAAACTGGCTAATACTAAACCAATACTAAACTCCTGAGACTACACATGCTTTCCACCAAGCTCCCAACATATGCTCCGGAGTGTGGTTTCGAGCTCCGGGAGTACGATTCCTTTACTAGGCCTGTGCTACGAAGTTGCGGTTAGTTGGGAGAAGCGAGTGGCGCAGAAGCAATGAAGTCTGCTAAGTGGACCCGACCGACACTGCTAATCCATGGCTTCCCTTCCGAGGCATAGTCGCTGTTCCAGGTAAAGGCCAAGTACTGCTCAAAGAAGTTGGTGTGGGTAGGCAACCCGAAGGTGTTCTCAAGAATTGCGCAGGCGCATACCATCTGATTTCACCAGCTGTGCTTGCATGCAAGAACTTCAAAGTAGGCTGAAGAGAGCAAAGCTTTCCAACAACAGCTTTGATGAAGCTATAAGCCTGCAGTCTGTATTCTGGAAGCCCTTTGTCAAAAGACACGAATTGCGTGGCAAACGCCATGAGACGGCTCGTTGAGACCGCCCCTTCACTCAACTCTGTGCGAAGCTGATCACACCCCTCCACCACTTGAGGGGCTTCGACACCAGGCCACAATTTCGTGTGAAAATCCCGCGCGTTGCCGCTTTGGACCCGCAAAGCTTGACGAGCTCTTTTCGAACTTTTGGAAGAAAAAAAGCATCCGCAATTCCCGTCAGCAACCAAAGGGTTTGCTCTTGTTTCCCCCCTTGTGGTAGCATCATATGAGCAACTCTTTGGAGAAGTTCCCCATCAGCATCAGAGTGTGCAAAGGTAAAGGACCCTTAGTTGGTTGTAAGATGAAACATTTACACAAGTTGTCGCAACACAGCTCAAACAAACGGTAGTACTTCAAGGCCAAGAAACAAACGCTCTCAATTCCAGAGCGACGTACATCGTCGCCACCATCACCTTCTTGTTCACCATCTATGTTTGCTTCAGGCCTACACTACTTGAAGCCTCTGAGCAAAATAAGAGCATAATTTGGGCATTACTGAGTTTACTTGTACTCTGGTCTTCCAAGGCAGTCAACAACCTTAGTGAAGAATACTAAGCCTTACCAAGCCTTATAGTAGTGAATACTAAGCCCCAGCAATACTCACAGCTTCGTTGCTTGTTTGGCTTGCCAACGACAAATTTGACCCCTTGAACCCGTTCGCGGTTTGGATTGTTTGAACCGGTTCTTGTAGAGAATGTAAAACCCACCTGCAGACCACACATCAAGATCAATAGTTAGACTAGGGTCACTACTTTGACTGAATCTGGGGGTTATCAACGTCAGCAAGAGTCATTTCACTGCACATGAAGCGTTGGCAAGCCAAACTATCAGGTTACCTGAGATTACTCGTCGTGGGAACCAAGTGGATATGAAAATGGAAGTGGACAGCGACCTCCCACAAAAGGACAGTCTTAAGCTCCCCTGTCGCCTTCCATGATTCTTAAAGGAAGGGGAATCTTTTTTGTACTACCAAAGTGAACCATCCCATGGCTTTTATCACTGCAAAAGCCGGTTCCCGTGATGCAGGCACCGTGCACATTCGAGCAGAGTGCGAAGTGCCAGGTATTGCGAACATCACAGAAAGCTTTCTTAAACCCAATTGTCCACGCAATTAGCCCAACCGCACTGAGCACGTAGGGCCCTGCTTCCATACACGGTTTGCCTTGCACCTACAAAGGAAGAATGCATGGAGAGGAGCCAGCTTTTGTTGGTGATCCACGTTTATACGCGTAGATGGGATCATTGGATTGGCAAACTGATGAGCACTCTCGTAGGTTGGCTTTTTGATTTTGAAGCAAGTGAAACTACGAACAATCCAATAGGCTCGGATTTGCTCACTGCCCCATGCAAAGAAAGAATTGAAACCCTTCTGCTACCTCAGAAGTTGCCCAACCCCGCTCTCTCAGATGTTTCATTCTGGTTCATATTCAGTAAAGCCCGAATGGCAAAACCATGTCAAGGATCCAAGACATGGAGTAAACAACCACTACATCACTACATAAATGGCCGCTCCTAATGTGGCCATGGTTCAAAACCAATGGTACCATTTTGGGATAGGTGAATTCACCACCCATTCTAGTCTAGTTTAGTGGGGACTGGGATGTTCACTGGTTTTGACCCATGGCCATGTGATTTGCTCAAATGCCCAGTGGCCATGCGAAAAAAAGGGCACCCTTTTTTGTTTGGTTGAGTTTAAAGGGCACCACTGGGCAACTGGGTTTGGGCTGGGAACTCGGTTGGACTCTGAAGGCATCCAGCACGCTCACCCTGAGCTTCCGGGCGAAGGCCAAGCCGGCTGCGGCCACCGGGTGGAAGTTCCTGCTGGGCTTCAGCTTTCCACTTGGTGGCTTGGTGATTCGAGGCTGCGGTGGTGTGTGTGGTGTGCCTTTTACCCTCTACAAAAAAAAACCAGGGGTCAAGTCCAAATCCAAACCACCATAACCACCAAATCCCAACCAGTTAGGTTGAGTCAAAAAAGGAATTCCTCCTAGGTGGGCAAGTGAGCAAAAAGGTCTCGATTTCCCATTCACAAGTTGTGGCATAACATGCTGTCCATTCAAACGAACGCGAATTTTGGAGGTTCCAAAAAGGGAGATGGAGGAAGCCCGGGTGAAGGGATGACACACCCAACATGCGGGAATTGCGCCATCTACTTTCACCCAGCTGCACCATGGACGTCCACGAGAATCCTTTCAAGGAGGATGGTAGTCTTTCGAAAAGGGCTTGCGAGCTGGGTGATCAAAAGCGGTCTCGAAAAAATAAGAACAAACACATCCATCTCATAGGTGTCCTTTGTGGGAGAACAGATGGCCCTGGTCAATGGAATCAAACCAACCTAAACCGGTGCCATCTATTTCTCTCCAAAATCACCTAAAAAGGACGCCTATGATCCATCCCCTTTACTGGATACCACAAATCCTGGTGAGAGTGAGCACTTGCTTCATGTGTTGTTACTGCCGACCGGCACAGTCTGAGAGTCTGCCCGCGGCTCAAGGGTCTATCTCGAGATAGGGATGAAGCATGGTGATGGGTCACTCATTGGGTCCCCTGTTGTCGAACTCATTTGCCCTGACCTCAAACAGAAGCTCTTGGAGCCTTGAGTATCAACATGCACCACGGGAAAACCAAAAGGTCAAATGCTGAATTTGGGCCAGTGAGAACCCTACAAAGCAGGGTGAGCTTGGCCGCATCCTCATCTCTAGGGTCCCAAAAAATAGAAACAATCCATCCCACATGGTTTGCATTTATAGGAGACGAACAACTAGTCGGATCATTTAGTACGGAAAAAATGCAACAGGCATAGGGGGAGTGGCTGGGGGCTGCACAAAACTTTACGGCCTTCTAGCAGTGGGCTAAGCTTAGAATCTGAAAGGTCTCCACTTGTCCATCTTCGGATCATGTTGCCCTGAGAAGAGCAGGGCCTTAAACCAGATCGAACAATGCCGACTTGGATGTTCGATTCGCCAAGTTGGTACGTAGTCCTCCATTTGGGCTACACCCCCCAATAACAAGTTGTTAACCACGCTGAACGGGGGACTTTTAAGTGGGTTGATAATCGGACGATTACCAACAACTTGTGTTGACCCATATTAATCAACGCCATGGCAGTTTATAAATAGGGGGTGCTGCCCTCCAAAAGTGATGATTCCCCCCTAAACCCAGAGACCCCTATTACTAAACTGGGGTTCATTAATGTGGGGTCAACATTACTAACTTGGCCTAAGGAGGCCGTCTGACCGCTGAACCAAGGGTCTTTCTCAGTGTCGGGGCATCCTTGGTCAGCCTGGATTGTTTTTGCATGGTCAATATGAATGACAATAATCGTTTTCTGTGACACGAGCTGCGCCGGCCGGGCAAACCACGCTTCTGGCTTTGAAGGGGATCCACGTGAAATCACAGAAAATGGGCCAAGGCCCTCATTTTCCCAATGGTCTTCTGCGAATCTCATTCAATTGAGATTCAATTGAGTGCCCAAAAGCCATTGACTCGTGGGTCGTGGCAACACATCCTAAAACGGCCCTTTTGGTGTGTGTGTGTGCAAAATCATGACGGCCTGTCTGAGGACTGCTTTGCGAAATACACATTTTGAACATCACCAGCTTGCTACTGCCTGGACCCTCACGCCCCAAACAAAACCGCCTTTTGTAATCGGTAGTTGGGGGTGCGAGTTCACAAACCCCGCATCCCTGCGTGAACGTTGGACACCATCTTGGGAAACTGTCATTTCCAGTAGTGATTTGATTCCATTTGAACCCAACAAGGGAAAAATCAAGCAAATGGAGACAGTTGATCGAAGTTGCATCTCGGGTTCGGACTTGTTGCAAGGTCCGAATGGAAGTTGAAGAAACCTGCAAAGAAGAAGATCTCAACCAGCTTCCCATCAAGAATGTCACTGGCTCATGTTTAAACGGTTTAAACGGTTTGATTTATCAACGTCTTTATCCCTTTCCTGCTTCCCTCTTTAAAGAAGCTTGGAGGTGGGGTAGCTTCCCACCGACCCTCAACGCGAGGGCTTCAAATCCCCAAACCACCAATCTAACGGTCAACCTGACTTGTTTGCTTTCTTAAGTAGGTTCCTACTCCAATTTCCAAAAAAAAACTACATGGGTATCCCTCTAAACCATGGTGAGCAGGACACTTAACCAAAACAAATAAGTTGCTTTATGTGTGTATACATGTATATATTCTATATATAATTATTATGGTTATGGTACCCCCCCAATGGATCTACCTTCCTTCCGAATTCACTGGTTTGTGCAGGCTGTTCTGCATTCTTAATAGCGGCTGTCCCTAAAGCCTGCCTGCCGCCGTCAAAGGAGACGCTCGAGAGGTGGTCCACTGACCCCGTCCGCCCCCTCGCGAGAAGCTTTTATGGGTGGGTCCCAATGGGTTCGGGGCGAGAATCGGCGAATCTGCCACCTGGACTCGCCAACTACCCTTCAAAAAGAGGAATTCACCCCATGCTTTCGGGGCAATAACCCATTTCATGGGTAGTTTCAGGGTCCAGCTACGCCAGAGAGGCGCTTTTTTTTCGGTTCAGGGAACCAAGAGGAGAACGCCATGGCAGGGGGTCCCCCAAAAAAGGCTAACCAAGAACCAATGCTCCATAGGCCTCCGGTCATATGGGGATGTCTTTTTTGGAGGGTATTTTTAGTTGGTGGATTTAAAGCGAAACAACCGGTAAAACCCGACAAAAGACACGCCCTATGGACGAACACGCTGGAGAAAGGAGCATTTTCTCCATCTCAAGAACCTTGCCCATCAAATGGGTGGTCCAAAAAAAGGGGTAACCCTAAAATGGGTTGCCCTAAGGTTTTATGTGGCTGAACCGATGTCGTGTTTCTCAAAGTCCCCAAAAAAGGATTGGCGTCCTGTTGGTGTCCATTTACTCACTTGCCCATAGGATCCACAAATAAAAGCTTGACCTGTTGGGGCCATGGCTAAAAATAGATCAGCATGAGGAAACCAAAGGTCAAGAGGTTAGCTTTGGGCAACTGAGTTCAAATACCAACCAAACGGGAGTCTGAAGTCCATTTTACGAAAACCCCACATACTTCCAACCTGCAAACATCACCCCTACGGGAAGCTTACCTACGGGCCAAAACAGGTGACCTTTCAAACCTCCATCCATTTCCCCAGCCAAAGCCAAGGGGCTCAATGCGCCCGACTCGTCACTCTGAGGGCCCTGGCGTCAGCTGAATGATGGGCAGCTCTGAAGGGCTCGGGCACGTCAACTCACTGCCTGCCAACGACTCAGCACGTTGGCAATGGCAAACAGAGCGTTCAGGTCCACCAAAAACACGATGGGTATCTGTCCAACCCGTGGCGTGGTAGCAAAACACTTGGTTTTTGCGGCCCCCTACAAAACATGAACAGAACCGGAAAGCCCAACACCGCACAGCACAGCACAGCACAGCACAACACAACACAACACACAACCAATACAGAAACAAACGCAAAACACACAACACACTTAAATGCACAACAAACACACAATACATACACACAACACACTCACACGCACAACCAAAAAACACAACCATTACAAGACACACACACACAACACATACACACAACACACAACACATACGCACAACACACTTACACAAACAACGCAAACACAACGCAGACACACACACACACACACAAAACACACAAACACACAAACTCACGCAACAAAACCACAACAAACACACGCAAACACACGCACGTAGAAACACACACACACACACAAACATGCCCACAAAGACACACACACACACAAACACAAAACAAAAACACAAACGACGAGCACGCAAACCCACACACACACACACGCACACACACACACAGACATGCACACGCTCGTGCACACGCACACGCCCGCAAGCCCGCACACGCACACACACACACATTTAATGTGGTCATTTCCTTGCAACCGGCGAAATGATAACTGCAGCTGAATCGGACCATCCGCTCAACCAACAACACCCAAGCATAGGGCATAGCCAATAGCGTAGGCCTCAAAAGAGGAGACCACGCAACCGACCTCTTGAAACTCAAAAGACGCCCAAAGAGCATCCATAAGTCCTGGTCTCTAGTCAAGCAACAGGCATGCGCATGCCGTGAGCAAAACACACACACACCAAACCGCCAAGCTGGATGCTTTGCTGTAGGGAACATCCGAGTCTGCAGGCCGCAACAACTTTTAATATGCCAACAGACAATCGTCAATCTGCGATCAAGTGGCAATGCTCAGGGAGAGACTACCTTGACTCTTGACCCTCAAACTACCCTTGAAAGGGAAATCACGCCCTATCTTTGGGGCGGGGTGGTTTTGAAGGTCTAGGTACGCGAGATAAACGCAATCAGTACTGCGGCATTGTCCTGTCAGTGTCAGGACGGCAAACCAGCCTGAGATCAGGGTACCCACAGTGACATCTCTGGTCAAGGACCAGAAGCATCGCACCGACCTGGGTGAAATCGCCGCCTTTCTCCCCAGCCTACAGTCTCCTCAACCCTTCAGACATGGGGTACCTCACGTCTGAGGTACCTCTCTGGACACTTCTGAAGAAATTCGCAGGGTCCGGGACTGGAACCCTCCAAACCAGCTTGCAAGATACCCAAAAAACTCGAAGGTAGGAAATGAAGTCACCAAGCCCAGTGGTTCATTGTGGCAGTCGGCCGGGATGCCAAGCCCAAAGATTGACCAGTCGGGAAGCTACTGTCAAGGGAAAGTCCGCGATCCGGTGACACGGGCTAGAACCAGTCTGAAGCAACAAAAACTGGGCTTTCATGCCCACATCGTGTATCCTGTACAAACTGGAGGGGAAGAAACGTACATGTGAGTGTGTCTTGGAAAATATGTCTGACAAATCGACAACTACCGAGGGGCAACGCGTGCTTTCCCTTGAACACCCAGATTTCAACGTACATCTCCGAAGAGATTCATTCTTCATAGGCACCTCCTTCCCTTGCAACAAATGGATCCGGGAAAAAAAAAAAGAAAAAAAACAACAACAACATATTCAGCGGTGGCCAAGAAGAGCACGAAGATTCCTCCCGCTATGGCAGGAGAGACAACCAAGGAAACACCAGCAGCTGGCGTCTTTCTGCATCATGCTCTCATCACCAACACGCTCCTCGCGCTCGATAGCAACCTAACAATGCGACTTCTCTACCCGTTCGAACGCTGAGCCCCGGACACCTTTGGGACGCCAATGGGGAAGTTGCGCCCCTGGCAGGCAACCGATTCAGCTGGACTGCTGAATGTCGAGTGGGCGTCTCAAACTGGATGGCTGGCGTTTGGGCCTTTGGTTTCGCCCAAGCCCAAGTTTAAAGTCGCAAGTGAGGAGCCACATAGGGGTGGGTCTTTGTATATTGCACCCAAAATGGTGGAGTTCCTCTGAAAGTGTCCCTTCAAAACCACCAAAAACGGGGTACAAATCCAAAAGCATGTGACGCGACCATTCCAGCTTCCGGTTCTTGACAGCGGAACATGGTGCGATACGAGCGGACAGGGCACAAGCCTTTTGCACACAAGTGACAGTTTACCGCGTGGGGTGGTCGGGTGGGGGGTCGGCCACGCGTATGTCCAACGTCTTGCGGATGCAGTCGTGCTTGCTGCCCCCCCCCCCCCATGAGCTTTGTGAGCGCCCAGTCATCTCAGGTGTACCGGAGCGATCCCTGAAATGGTAGCAAGGCATGGCTCATGACAGATCCAGTTGCTCCCGTCCGAGTGCTCATTGCTGCTCCTTTTTCGAGTACGAGTCATACAATGGCTTTCCCACCGTAGACATCCGAAAGTCCGAGTACAAGCTGAAGCCACACCATGCCACACAGTCAGCAATTCAATCCTTGCCATGGCTGAACAGAACAACAACGTGGCTCATCCTTGACAGTTCCCAATATTGATTTCAGAGAAAGGCGATGGGGCCACCTGGGTGTTTTTTTGGTTGGGGGACCTGCCAAAATGATGGTTTGCTGTTGTTGTTTTTTCTAAACCCAGAACAAACGTAACCGAACAAATCCACATACCCACAAGGTTTTGTAGTTCAGAACAAATTTCGAGGAGGAGTCAACAGTGACCCTCGGCAAATGATTTGGAAGGGACCGCCAACAACCCCTGCCCCCCCCCCACACACACACAAAAAGGGCTCAAATCCAATAGTGCTCTTTTTAAAGGGAAGCCAAAAGGAAAACCATCATTTTGGAGGGTCCCCCAGTTTGAGCCAACCCTAAAAATAATTTCCCAAGTTCAAACATCCTGTGACTCTCTGCCAAGCCTGCTCTGTCACAGAGAGGCATAAAGGGTCTGGACATGACAGTAACCATACATGCGGCGCGGCAGCATCATCTTCTCTCGGACCCCAAGACAGGTCGCCATACTTGCGGGAATAAGATCCCTACCTAGGCTCTTCCCAAAGACCCGACCTACTAAGGTTATTTCTGATTTTTCCGTGTGCCCTCAACAAGAATCAAGGTCAAAGCCAAAGCTAAACCATAAACTAAGGGGGACCGGGTTACCGGACAAACAACATTCAATCTTTCGCGTATACATTCAAAAATCATGAGAACATCTGCTGACAAACCGATTGAAGTTTGCCAACTCAACTGGCAAAATAACACTTTTGGCTGTCGGATCATGATAAAACGCCCAACAGGCAAAGAGTACAAAAGGTAAGCTAAGCCTGTCATTGTATATGTTAGCCACAAGTTTGGGTCAAGCAAAACGAGACCTGGAAATCAAGAAAGTTAACACGGCCTCTGGTCACCCTATTATGTTCTCACTTCCTGCGTGGCAAGAATAAGTCTAAACTTGTTGTACTAAAATGGCAGCCAAACCCAAAAGTGATGCTTCTAGCAACCACCTAACCACCTTCTAGTCCGGACTCCCCCCTTACACCCAAAAGGCGCGACGGAAACCCAGCCCCTTTATAGGGGCGACCTATTTGTGGAGCCACCCAGCTGAGCTGTTCTCAGATCCCCTGCTACAAGATTGACTTGTTGTGGGCTTAATGGAAACCCAACTCAACCACAAAATCGACGACAACAACATCGACGACAACAACAGCCAAAGAGAAAAACACCTCTGGTCTCGCCATGGAGTACACCTCCCAACCTCCCCACCCTTCCGCCCTCTCGCCTGCACCCGCACAGGCAGCCGCGGGGGTCCGAAGCTCGGGCTCAAGCGCTGGAAGCTGGGCGTCCTCCAAGGCTCCAAGCCACGCGCGCGCGAGAGCCGAGAGGCGAACCAAATAGCTGGACCGAATCGAAAAACTACCCGTAACAAAAAGGGTTACCCCGAATCATGGGTCGACCTGGACCAAACTACACTTTTAAAAAATGGGGGGTGCCACAAAATTATGGGTGGACCTGGACCAAAAAACTACCCTTTTTTTTAAATGGGGGGGGGTGCCCCAAAATTATGGGTGGACCTGGACCAAACTTCTTAGAAAAATGGGGGGGGTGCCCCAAAATTATGGGTGGACCTGGACCAAACTACTCTTAGAAAAATGGGGGGGGTGCCCCAAAATTATGGGTGTACCTGGACCAAACTACCCTTAAAACATTGGGGCGGGGTGCCCCCAAATTATGGGTCGACCTGGACCAAACTACCCTTTTAAAAAATGGGGGGTGCCCCAAAATTATGGGTGGACCTGGCTGGGCCAAACTACCCTTTTAAAAATGGGGGGGTGCCCCAAAATTATGGGTGGACCTGGACCAAACTACTCTTAGAAAAATGGGGGTTGCCCCAAAACTATGGGTGGACCTGGACCAAACTGCCCTTAAAAGTGAGGGGGTGCCCCAAAATTATGGGTGGACCTGGACAAAACTACCTATACAAAATGGGGGAGTGCCCCGAAATTATGGCGATGTCGCCAATATCATGGGTAGTTTGAGGGTCCAGGAATATGATATGAGACGGTACGATTTGATAGACGATGTTATCCTGCAGCCACTAACCACCCAAAATAAATGTCCCAAACAAACAAGAGAACAACAAAAAACGGCTTTGTACTGAAAGCCGGGTTTTGCGAGACTGTCTTTTTGCCTACGTGTTTTGTGCTACGGAAAATTACCGTGCTTGCGCGGTGCTTTTATCCCGACTTTTTGCGCGGCGACCGGAACCAGAAGCAAATTGTTTGGTCAGGGCCCCCACTCTTGCTTCCTTGTTGTACCGACATATATAGTTGTGTATATATATATATCTATATATATTGATGACTATTATTTCCTATTATAGTTATTTTATTGTTGTTAATATTATTAGAAAAAACAATGTATTATTTGTCAAGGAAGTTTAGAAGGAACTTCCGTGGTACGGAAACTAATTGAAGGATAGCCGAGGATTAGAAAGATACTTGAAATATAGTGCAGATTTCGTGGCAGGGGCAGTATTCCAGCGCCTTGTCTGAGTGCGCGAGAAGATAGAGAATGCGCGAAAACGTGGCAGAAGTCTTGCTGCCGAAAATGTGCGAAAGGTACCTCTGCCGCGGCGCCTGTTCGGGACGGTCTCGGGCGGGGTCGGGACGGGGTCGGACGGGGGCCCATTGTAACACCAACGCGGAGGTTTCCGAAGGTTAGAATTTCGTGGCAGGCGCAGCACTTTGGCGAGCCGAGGTATAGATTTCGTGGCAGGCGCAACACTTTTGCAAGGCCAAATATAGATTTTGTGGCAGGCGCGGCATTTCCGCAGCGCTGGCAAGGACGCATCGCACATCCCATTGGCACGGGCGCGCAAGGTGGCGCGCGCAGATTTCGTGGCAGGCGCAGCACTTTCGCAAGGTCAGGTACAGATTTCGTGGCAGGCGCGACACTTTCGCATGGTTGAGTAAGGTTTCGTGGCAGGCGCAGCGATTTTGTGGCAGGCGCAGCACTTTCGCAAGGCTGGGTACAGAACACGTGGCAGGCGCGATGCTTTCTCAATCAAGGTTAAGTACAGATTTTGTGGCAGGCGCAGCACTTTCGTAAGGCTGGGTACAGATTTCGTGGCAGGCGCGATACTTTCGCAAGGTCAAGTACAGATTTCGTGGCAAGCGCAGTATTTCGTGATCGAAGGTACGATTCCACTCTTCCAGCTGCAGCTCCATGAAACAAATTCGTCAAAGGAAGTGGGTGCTGCGAGTTGCAATCGGGCACGAAGAAGCTTATTCAGGATCGCACGGCGCCCGTCCAGCGAGGATTTTTTGGCAGATTCGACATTCCGAGAGCAGGCGTCTGCCTATCTTGCAACCACGAAGCCACTCCTGCGGCTGCTCCGCAACGCTTCAGTTGACGACGCGGCCGGTCCCACTCGGCTGCCTTTGCAGTGTGCAGAGTTCTTGGATCGCTTGACCGACAAAAACCCAACGCAAATTTGTAATGACTTTGACAAAGGGACTAGAATTCAATTTGAATGCAAGGATGCTTTACTGGGTTGCTGCGCTAACTTCATCTGGGTGGTCAGTATGCAAGAAAGGTTGGCTGTAGCGCGCCAAGCAGCAAACTCGTTGCGCCGCATTGTTGCTCAGCCCCATGTGCAGATGGATGATGCCGCAGATCCAACGATTGCGCACTGGCAAGTCCTCTTTCAATTTCCTGCAGTGGAAGCCGACGTGCAGCCGTTTCAGCTGCGGCATGACTGGCAGCTGCAGGACTCCCAGCTGCACAGCCAAGGGTCCAAAAGGTTGACCCCGGACGTACTGGACATGACGCCCGTGTCTAAAGTAGCACGAATTAAAGAAGCACTAGCTTCGCCAAGCTACGCGACATAGCTGGCCCAGACATACCGCGTGCCGTTTCAAGCGCGGAACTTACGCGTGTGCCGCGGGCCCAAGCCGTGAGAACTCAGTAGCGAGCATCAGATGCGAGAAGCTGCCTTCTTTCCAAGCGCGTGCCGTTTCAGGCCGCGAGGCGCTGCAGCATTTGCTTAAAAAGAAGTGCGGCTGGGAGGTTCTGGGAGCGAATGTTTTTGACATGGCATGTTCAAGGAGCACCCCCGCTGAAACCAGCAACAATGCAAATGCTATAAGTCCCATGTGTTTTAGAAACTTCCGCCTCCCGGCTTTGCCGGCTCTAATGGTAGTAGTAGTGTTAAGTATCATCGTTATCATTATTATTGTATACCCACAATCTTGGCTCAATCTACAAAACACTAACCTGAGACTCATGGTAAATTGGTATCCTGATGTAGTCGAACTTCGTGGCCGCCGAGGTGAGCAAACGCGGATCTCCGACGCCTCGGTGAACGAAAAAACACAAACACACACACACACGGGTGCTTCTTAGATTCTAGCAGACGCGGATCTCAGGTCCTAAGTGGATTGGCCCCCAAATCGGGGAACCCAACTGGAAACCACAAGGAAACCAAATTCGGTTGGTGCTCTCCAAGGAGCCGGGATTCTGTTGGCCTTTTTTTGTGTAGCAAGAAGGGCCAAGCAAGAAGGTGGTTTCTAGAAGAACCAGGATTTCTTTAGCACTAGGACAGCTCACTTACTGAGCTCCTGGACTTTATACCTTGTGGTATGATCATTTGAGTGGCAAACACAAAGTTCCGAAACTTTTTTTGGCCAATCAGGATGTGAGAACATGGTCAACCACATGGATCGGTTGCTGATTTGCTGTAAGCAAAGGGTGTTTCTGGGACCAATCCACTCACCTGGCGCTGTCCTCAGATCCCCTGCTACAAGGTTAACTTGCTACCCAACCAGAAAATCGATGACAACAACAGCAAACAAATAAATTCATTTGGACTCAAAACAAATCAAAAACACCCTTTAAGATAAATATTGGGACCCCTGAGAATTCTCCAGGCGTCTCCCAGCTATTGCTCAGAGGGTACCGGAGCGACGCAACTCGAGCAGTGGTTTCCATGGGCAGCTTCTCCGCAGGGTGGCAGCGTGGCAATGAGCTGTTGCTAACGACTCCAACGTGTGGAGTGAAAAGCCTTCACATGCTTCTGCTGGCATTAGCAACATCATCATCCCCCCACCCCGCAAAGTTGGATGATCAACAAGTGCGTGCGTGAGAGAGGGAGAGAGAAAGAGAAAGAGAAAGATAAAGAGACAAAAAAAAACACATAGAGTGTGTGTGTGTGTGTCTTGGCCGCGCTCACGAGTGGGCGGGGGGTATCGTCCGGAGCAAGTCTAGGGAGCAAGTGTGTGTGTGTGTGTCGAAAGCAGCTTGAGGGAGCGGGGCGCTCTGCAAGAGGCAAACGCAAGGATGCGGGTCCCCCGGATTTCACACACACACACACACAAATGACACCCTCCCGCACACTTGAAATCTGCGGGAAGTCCCTCACAAATCGTCAGAAGCAACATGGTACCCCAAAAGAAGGGCATTGTCAATTCTGGAGAATGGGTTCATGCACGCTTGCTGTTGTGCTTGGCCTCAGTCCTTAAAGCGTCAGCCTTTCGAAACCTTGACCGACTCAACCTGGAGAAAACCAAGAGACTGGAAAACCAAGAGATGAACAGGTCAAAAGGCCCGAAATGGTGATGAGCACTTGGCGGGGATTCATGTCCACAAACCACTTTTGACATAGCCAACTGGGTTTATCTCAAAGTAGGGCAACCTCAGAATGCATGGTTTCTTTTTGGCTTCCCTTTGAAACAGCCTTTTGCCTTTGCGAGAGCCTCGTCCGCCAAGCGGTCAGCTGGTTTGAAACAGCCCCCAAAAAGGCTTTCCTTTAAGACATACACAGCCAATGTCGATGTGGAACAAGCGAGACCCAAAGCAAACCGAAGAGCTCGCGCTCCCGAGATCCGAGATCCCAGCGCCCACTCTGCGCAAAGGTGAGGCGGAACCCGATCTCATTTGGGGCTGCACCTGACCGAAGATGGGTACGGCTCAAACTTAGAAAGAGCGACGGTTGCGCAGGTTCTAGTCTTTGGTACCACTTGTTTGAGCCACAGCCACATGGGTACCTACAGTCTCCATGACCCTTGAAAAACCGGGTCATGACCCCTGTCTGTTGGGAGCTTGACCTCAAATTAGTGAGACTCCACGCATGAACATGGAATGGGCAGTGCCTAGCCCATACTAAAAACAAAAGTATTTACCAGGGATCCTTACATTATACACCTGAACATTGCCTGCTAAGTGGTTTCCATTTCTTTATTTTGGTGTTGAAAAAGCAACATGTTTCAAATGGGCAGGCAAAATGTATCGATCTTTCAAGGAGCCCTGTTTCCCCTGGAAAGCTTCCAGGCTGTTCAAAACCTACTCAACAATTTGTATTTGGTGTAGTCAATCGCTGAGAACTTTCTAGGAAGGAAGTGGCACCTGGATGCCGACTGTGTGCTGAGCCTAGCAAACCGCCTGCGAACTGCTCAGACTGTATTCAATCAATCATCCGGCCAACAGCTCTTTGAAGGGTTTTTCACCTGGCCATAGAAGCAAAGAAGATGAAACTTTTGGGACGCCGATGGCGTCGCTCGGTCCCGCCGAGCATATTTGTTTCACGGAACCACTTGAGCAACTTTTGCAGCAGAAACAGCTGATAGCTGGTGCGTCAGTCTGAGTGTATGCAGATAGGTCATGCGACAAGATGGTTCAAACGACAACTGGAATAACAACCTGCGTAAGGTTGGTCTGTGGGTTTATCAAATGTATCCTTGCATCGGTTGACGTCAACACGTCCACTTCCGGCTCGAGCCGCGAGTCGCGCGCCTCGTGAGATCCCCGCCCGGCGCAGGGAAAAACTCTTGACCTGGGGCGGACGTCCAAACACAGTGCTTCTTGCCATTGATGTGGTTGCATGTGGGTCAAAATCATATCACCAGATCGCAGGTTTAGCATTTTCAATTTAATAGGCTTCCATTTTGGGTACCCATTTGTGACCCACATCGATGATTCCCCGTGATTAAACACCCCCCCTCCCCGAAAACGTTGACAAAGTCCAAAAGCAAACTGTTTGTGGAGGGTCCCCATGCCCCCCCTCCCAATGGGCCAACATTATGGTGGAAAACCAGTGCAAACCAGCCACCGTACGACAAGGGGTCAAATCCTGGTTCCTTACCTTAGTGGCTTGCCAGGAAGCGAAACACTGGGAAACATATGATTGATTCCCTAAGTAAACCAACCGCAAAACCCCTGGTTTCCGCGATTCCTGCTCCCTTTTTGTAGTACATAGGACATGCACCCTAGAGATCACTTACAAGTGGCAACAGCTTTCGATGGAAGCCGAGCAAAAGAGGTTGTTGACTTTTGTGGTGCCACAACTGATCTCGGAAAGTCTTGTGACAGCCAACCGCCGCCTTCTTGCTCAGCGTAATAAGTTAATAAGTACCATCAGTTTGTCCCTAAATGCCTCCCTTTGAACGAGTGATGCGTTCTTGACCTGCCTTGTGGCTATTCTACTAGTGACTGGAAGCACAATTGCTATATCAAAAGACGGCCATTTGAAGTATGCTCACACTTAAAATTCTTAGGAACCGGAATACAACTCTCAAAACACCGAGTTGGAAGCCACCAATACACCTTGGCACTATGATC